TGGTGCTGACCTGGACTTCCTAACAAGGCAGGAAGCATGGGGTCAAGATGTTCAGTGGTGGGTCTGTGTACTTCTCTCCACTTCTAGGTGGAGAGATGAACAGATAGACAGACAGACAGGCAGGCAGACAAATTAGATAGATTACATACAGACAGGTATCCAACAGACAAATCAATTAGATATTAGATAAAACATATAGATAAACAGAGATAGGAAGCAATATAGGTACACAGATACATATGGCTGTTCAGGGTATGCAAACTCTCCAGTCTCTTGAGTTGAACCAACAAATAGTAAAAAGTGTTATTATGTGTAGGCATTGAGGTCAGTTTTGCATGTGGGCAAACGAAAAAAAAACAAATGAGCATGTTCCAGGCACGACACCCCCACTTTAGTTCCTCAAATGGACCATATTTCTTGCAAATGGTTTTTGCTTACCCTGCTTCCTGGACCTGCACAGAAAGAAGGGATGTGAGCTTAATTAGAGAAACAGGTATGGGGACAGATTCTTTACCTATCAGGTGAGAGAAGAGGCATCCCTTCCAGTTTGTGTAGCTCCTAATTAAGCCAAAACTATATGACTAGACAAACCACCCATCCAAAACCCTCTTGGCTCTCACCTGGACCCTGGTCACAGAGCAGGTCAAGATAGAAGGATGGGTGGGTGGGCGGGCAGAGGGATGGATAATTCACTCTAAATTCTTTGACTATTCCTCTTTCAGTTGAAGTTCCCCCACATGAAACTAAACTTGGCAAGATACCTGCCAGGGGCTAAACATGTTAAAAAAACACATTTTGGAAATCACCAGAGTCCAAAACAATAATGCCTCTCAACACGCTGCCTGCAAAGTGCTTAAACCTTCGACAAGGTCATTAGAGAACCAGTGTTTGCCAAGCATTCAGAAGCAAGACTGACATTGTCAACGTGCACAATTGAGTCAAAAGCCAAAGTAAAACTAGGGTAATTTGTCTGGATTTCCCAGATTTCACTCATTAGGCCAGGCAGTCCACCCATGGGGCCAGTCACCCCAGGGACAGCAGCATAGCAAAAGGGTCAGTACTGGCAAGAGGTGCCACACCCTTCCATGGCAAAAGAGCTTGACCCCACCATCCAGCACCCTGTCACAGGGCCTTGGGTGTGACAAGGCCAAGGTCCACTGGCTTCCAAAAACTAAAGTGGAGAAGCAAGCAGAGAAAGGAGGCACTGGTCTGGGCGTGCGCTAGGAGAGCTCTGAGCACCCAAGACCAACCTCACCAAAACATTTCTACCAACTCCCCCTTTCTGAGCAGCTGTCTGCCTTCCATAAGTCACGGATGTCAGAGAGCTAGAAATGGGGGCACAGACAGCAAAAGGGGGAAAAAGAGGAAGTAGTAGTAGAAGGGGAAAAGACAGGGGGGACATAACCTAAATCCACGCAGAACATTCACCATGTAAATTTTGCAGAATCATGACACTAAAAAAGTGTCAAAGAACACATACGTGTGGGCTGAGCCCTTACTTTGGATCAGAATCCAACAGGAAAAAAAAAAAACCATTCCAGGTGCTTAAAAAGAACGAGTTTCATAGGGGAGACAGTTGCTGAGGGAGCAGAAAGAACAGAGCAAGACTGAGGAGAAAAGAGCCAGAGGCTTCCAGCACTTAGACTGCAGTAGGGAGGGCGAACTTCTGTAAAGGCTCAGAAGGTAAGTACGAAGTCTGCGGGTCATTAGGTCTCTGTCAAAAAGACTCCAGTCTGTCACAGGCAGCAGAGACAATATATTCACCAACAGGTGCATCCGTGTCCCAATACAACTTTATTTGCAAAAACAAACATAGGGATGGATCTTGCCCACAGGCTGAAGTTGGGTGCTACCTGGGCTAGAGAGACAAAAAGAGTAAATAGGATCAGGTCAGGGTCACCTGGTAAAAGCTAACACCACATCCTGTCTGGCTAAAGCAAGATACAACATGCAGTCCATGTCTATGAGCCACCACATGAAACCAAGAGAAAGGGGAGACTTTCTCTGGCTCCTCCTGGCTCCCACCCTGCAGGATCCTGCCGGTTCCTACCATTGTATAAAGTCAGCAGGAGGCCCCCTGACAGGGAGATCTAGGAAATGGGTTCTGCAGAGATTAGCCTCTGCAATCACACAGAGGAACCTGGATAGGAGAATAAGGAGCCAAAACAGGCCAAAAATTAGCACCACTAGTCAAGTAATTTCATACAGAAAAAAAATGTTACACTAGTACACGTCATGTCTCTAACCTCAGATCACTGACATACAACTGCAGAAAACAGTGGGTCTCATAAGAAGGACCCTGTCAGAACAGATACTTACCTCACTACAAACTTATCTAAAGTAAAGGAAACCTTAAGAGGTACTGTGGTCGGCCAAAAGACCCATATAGACCCAACTGAGGGCACACCGATGGTGTGTGTGTGTGTGTGTGTGTGTGTGTGTGCAGATTTCTGAATACAGTCAGTGTTAATTTCTATCTGTACAACTATTACATGCATTAGAAAGTAAGATTTGGAAGTAGATCTATTCACACACAAAAAAATAATGCACAGTAAATATCTACACAGAAGTAGCTATCTGCGTCAAGCCCTAGTAAATCAAATTCTCAATTTTCATTTTCAAATGCTCAGCAGAACGTAAACCAAGGCATGTGTATGAAACCTAAACCTATGCATTTAATCTAAAAAAATCAGGGTCAGTTTAGTAAGGACACAGTTTAGGAAAGAGTCCACAAAGACTGCCATTCTGGGCCCCTTAGGGATGGCATGAAATTATAAACTTGTGGGTTTAAGAAGCAATTATCTAAATAAAGTTAAGTTATTAGAAGAGTAAGATTGAGGTGAAAAAGTCAGACATTTTAAAGGTAATATACTGCTTAGGATGAGTAAATTTGAGATACTCGTAGCTATGTAATCTTCTTTATGTCAGACTTCTGTTACCTAATTTTTAAATATAATATGAAAATGCTAAAAAAGAAGCTTACAGTTGAGAATTACTAAGATAGGTTGATCAGGGTATTCTCACTACTTTTACAGAAGATTAATCATAGCATCTCTAGATTGGCCACATGACTCATTTTCATAAGCCAAATTATAAGTTATGTCACTTTTCTCTCCAAACTGCAAACTCTTTAAGCAGCAAAAAGCCAAGCTAACGATTGAAAGCCTTCACCAAGATATAAATTGCCTTTCTCCTATAAGATCATGAATGGCTTTCTATTCACCTAAGGTTTTATTAAACATGGGTGCTACATTTGGGAATTCATTACATTTCTGAATCCGGTGCACTGAAGTTAAAAACTACCATGATAAGGGGAAATAAAAAGAAAGAAAAGACAGCTTGGTGGTAAGACACAGCTCAGTAGTGTAGATATAAATACTGCTCGACAGGAACTTCTGTTCCTTTCATATTTGTGGTATCTTTATCCAGGCCATCAACATTTTTTCCCTCCCTCTTCCTTCCTTTGGTCATTCTTCCATAACCTCTGTTATCCTCCCCAGACTCCAATATCCCCCAAGCTCACAATTTTTCTTTCTCGCCTTTATGTGTATCCACAAACTGCCAGGGCTCTTCCACAGGCCAGAGCTTCCTAACTAAAGATGGTTATTGATGTACAGTACCAGGGTTTTAGTACAGCCCCAGAATCAATAAACGAGAAAATACTGCTTTGTCAGGTTTCACCAAAGCATGCTGGGAAACTTTACTGCTTCAGATGGTTACAGGAACTCTTAATATGGGAGAGCAGAGCTGGGCTCCCCTCTGGTGAGAAATGATGCTCTTCTACCCTCTAGTGACTATAAAGGAATAAGACAAAAGTTGGAGGAATTCTTGAGGCAGCCTCACATTATTTACCATCTCTTAATTTCATTTCTAAAGAGAACTAGGGTCTTGGAAAATCAAGTGAACCGGTAGGATAAAAAAACACCTTATAATAGGTATTTTTTAAGTGTCTAAACTATCAAGGACATACATTTCAGTAAGAGTCAGACTTTGATTCCTTTGGATTTTAAAAGCAAGGTTTGAGAAGTTTGCTTTTCTTCTTAAATGACTAGTGCATGTCAGGATACAAATCCATCTCTCTTACACACACACATGCACACTCACTCTAACAAACACAAAATCTGTTTCAATCTCCTTATTTTACAAAGAAGTAAACAACTAAAGGACAATGAGGTTAGATCGGTTATATATTTGTGCACTTCGTTGTGTGTACATAAACACATACACAGATCCTGATGCATCCTCCCCCATTCCACACACATATCACAGCCACCTCCATGTAGGTTATTTCTCTTTAAAAAAGTAGCAGAGCTGCTCAATGAAATTCTTAATAAATTTTTGGTTTTGCTTATTTTTACACTGATTCTGACCTTTAGTCACTTAGGTTGCAAGGTGCCAATTCAATAAACTAAGAATGTATCCCTACTTTGGAACACCTGCACCTTTTACAAATGAGGCGGCAGTGTATAAATTGTTGGAAAAGATACTAACAATGTAAAACATCAGTACTTCATGAAGACATCTTTAAAGAAACTCTTACCCAAAAAAAGCAGCCAATGGTAAAATAAAAATAACATAAAAGAGACATAAAATACACCACATATTCCTCTCGATTCATCTTTTCATTGCCCCTACAGTGCCAAAGCTAGTTTCCATCTAATGGTCTATAATTTCCTAAAGGCTAACTAACTCTAACTGCAGACACTCCAAATAATCCACATTTAATGAAGTGTAACATTCTAACATGGCTGGTACATATAAAATGTCACCACTAAGACAAGTGTAAGGTCAAACATCTGGCTATGCCCTTTTAAAATGAAATTTTAAATGAAATTTTAAAAGGGAGGTTGTTTCCTTCTTATTCATTAACAACATTAAGAGGGAAAAATGCTGTTACATGTGAGGGTTGGAGTATATCAGTCACATATATATTTGTGTTTGCTACAAAGAAGAAGTTTTGCCCAATGATGTGAAGAAAAAAAAAAAACAGCTATACTTACCTTATTGACACTTAACCGCTTCCGATTTGACCAACGCTAAGGATTATGTCCATTGAATGGTGAAAAGTGGTAAAATAAGAAAGAGAAATTATTAACAACAGAATAATATTTATTGTAAAAGATGGTTCAATCTACATCCAAACAATTAACACCCAAATTCTGAGGTTATAGAGGAAACTCAATTGAGCACAAAAATAGTTAGAAACGAAAAATCCCATTTCTGTGATTGTGTTATATCATTTTCTCACTGTATTTAAAAATGAAAAGGACAAATGAATACTGTCATTCCTTAGGAGTACATTTATGTTTTTAAGGGCCATACAACACTATCATTTTACTCTTAAAAGCAGACAGATTTCTCTTACTTGTAGTATTCAGATAGTATTACAAAAATGTTTCAAAAATTCATAGACAATGTTAGTCCATGTTTAGGTTTTCATAGTTTTAGATACCAGAGGAAAAAAAATTTTCTATTTCCCTCCACCGATTAAATCTTAATGTTCAAAACTAATAGGAAAAATAAAACCTGAGCCAATCCTGCACATTTAAGAAAAATTGCTAATACAGCCCTGAGAGAGGAAAGAAAGAAATTCTGAACAGTAACTAACTTCTCCACTGTTCTCCTCTGATCTCTCATTTGCCACGCTAAGGCTGCTGAATTTCATCTATGATTAAAATTCTCTCCTAGCAAAATCCTCTCATTACCCCTGTCACCATCCAGTATGTGAAGCTCTACTCCGGCTGGTTAACCAGCTAACTGCATGTTAAAACTTGGATAAATTTGGGAGATTACAACTCAATTATGAATCTAATCGAGCAGACCACATTTACTATTATGTTTAAGGAAAAAATACCTTTAGGCAAATGACCTATCCACTTTGCCAATATGTCTCCCCAATAAATTAGAAACCAGGAAATAAATAGTCTGGGGGAAGTGCCAGTAACCAGCAATTAGAAACATTGGTACAGAAAGGATTTGAAAATATTCTTCAATAAAATACTCTCCTTGATGAAATGGAAAGCTTAACATTTAGTGAATGACACAGAGTTATAGATGGATATTATAATCTGGGTATTAAAACCAGTTCTTTTTATATTTTCCCAGCAATATATTGACAAATATTTTCACCCAAAACAACCACCAAATTTAGTCACCATCTTACAAGTACATGTGGTTATTTAGGGCCCTTTGCCATACACCTTCATTTGATTTTTGTAACAATCATAGAAGATAAACAAAATAGATAAGGAAATTAAGGGAAAATGAATATTACTGTTTGCTCTCCACAATACTAAGAGCTACCATATCTTGAGTGTCTACACCATGCCAAGCACTGTATTTCATAATCTCAATCTTCACAATCCTGTAAAATATAGTCTGTTTTATTCCCACTTCACACATGACAAAATTGTAGCTGGAAGATGTAAAGCGATTTTGCAAGTTTGACCTAATCACTTAACTTCTCAAAACTAGAAAGTAGTGGATCTGAAATGCAAACTCAGGCTGTCTGACGACAGAGCCCCAAATTCTAACGGCCGTCCTGTTTTGGTCAAGAAAGAGAAACAGTGAGTTTGTCAACCTTCCAGCCACAGTGTCACCCTCTAAGTGGCCATGCCCATGTACACTGAAATGCCTGGACTCGAGGGTCAATTCACAGACATTCTGCACATGTTACGATTCTTGTCAGCTTGAATCTAAAGCAACAAAGACTGCCTCAGCAATGATAGGGACAAATATGGGTGCAAAGCTGAGAATTCAAACTGAAATCTCTCCATCAGATCTTAATTAAAATGGAAAGTCATAAATAAATTATTCCCAATTAAATAACCCGCTGTCTTCCCCGTTTCGTAAGTTATTCCAATTTCAAACTCCAATGTAAGGATACCTTTAAATATTAACTGAAACTCAATGAAGAGAACAAATGTTTTCTAATATCTACTCTATCCAAAGGGCCCCCAATATTGCACTCAAAGGTGAAAAACCACAAAGCCCAGGATAAATATTCCCTTGCTCAGGTATACTTTGATCATGTACGTAAAGAGAAAAATAAAACTCCTGATTAGAATAAATAGGAGCACATATTATAGTATAGAAAAACTGGCAGGGCTTTCTGTATTATTATACCCCATAAAATATATATCATATAAATATATTGTACATCAGACCTCTGCCAGACAAATGAAGAATGAAGGAAAAGAGAACAATCATGAACAAGCAAATCCGGAGTCTGACAAATCCTCAAACACATGAGTTGGGGGAGTCGAAGGAAGGAAAGGCCAAAGTCCTCACCTGACAAGTGGGGCTACTTTAAGGATTTTGAAAAGATATTCTTTGAGTTGTTTTACAAAAACAAACACAAGATGCACCTAGCAAATTGCTCTGCAATTTGAAATACATTTTAACTGAAATGGCTATCACTTGAAATGTTGGCAATATTTACATACATATATTTCCAGTGCCAGTATGACAGCTACACATCAACCAATATACTACAGGAGAATTCACAAGGGGAATAAATAGGCAGCTATTGTGTCACTTACTTCTGCAGCTTTTTTCATGGGGAAATTATTCAACTTTCCAAACCCACTTAAGTATGTAAGAAATGTTCAGAACATATCAGCTGGCAATTAATCAACCGTGTAGTAAATGACTCTTATTTATAGTGCATGTTATTTTAATCTTGTATCCAGCTCAAGTAACTGGTCATCTCTGTCCACATGGACCATCGGTCTAGGGGCAATGCCATCAAGACTAAGAGAAGCTAAAGAAATCCCTCCTTCCTTGTATTAGAAAAAAAAATAAATCTATTTTCGACATCAATTTCAGAGATTTCAACATCAAAATACCAGCTTTATTGAGGCCTCAAGTTTCAACAGTGCAACTTTAAAAAGAAATAAATGGAGGGTTGTTATTTTTTCAGTTATTGTCCAATAAATTCTTGTAAGTAAAGAATTCGAATTAAAGATATGAACTATGTGTTGACACTCTCCAGTTGAAAAGCCACTATAAAGGTGTCCTACTTCTTCAAGCTATTTTCTATGAGTTTACTAATAAATCACTCATGATTTTCATCTCGAAAATGAATTACAACTAAAAGCAAAGGTGATGAAAGATGCAGAATATTCTCCTAATCGACCCCACTGACTCAATTCAAGTAGTATGACTGGAGACCTTATTTATAATCAGGCTTCAGATTTTCATACCAGATTCTAAACATGCTAAATTTTAATACATCTTCTTTTTCTCAAGTAGGTATTTTAGTTGGTTTTAAAAATATCTCTCAAATAAGTTACAATCAGAGATGCTTTTGGTTCATATTTTAATTCTTGGCATTGTGATGTATAATCTCTGACTATAAATAAGATCGTGATTTGTTTCATGTATTTGCTTGTTAAGACAGAGCCCCAGTTATACTGTGACAAAATCCAATGCTTTGTTGATGTTCTAGATATCTTCAGCAGATACTGTGTAACTAGAAATCTTCATATATTAGACCAGAGAACATTCAAATTTGTATCTTACCAAAAGTACTCTCAACAGAAAACTTGGTAGCTTTGAACAACAACCAAAACAAAACAAACAAACAAACAAAAAAACAGAAGAGGAAAAGAAATGGAAATGCTGTAAATGCACTTTTGATCACCTTAAGAATGTACAGTGCAATAATTAAATCCTGGGAACTGCTTTCCATAACTGAATAATGTCAAAGTCTTCTAGTACCTAAGAAAGTAGTGAATGGAAACCTTAACACACTTACTAAAAGTATAATTTGGATGATCTGTTAAAAGAAAACATACCCAGCACGTACCTTTTAATAACAGCAATACTATTCATATCCGCAGCCAAATTAGAGGAAAGTCCTTAGTGGATTTTCTTTTCAGAATTCCAAAAGAAAGAATGTATATAACCACATATAGGGACTTGAAGTATAAAATTATTTGCTTCCCCAAGAAATAATTACAAAATACCAGTCATCTGATAGTCCAATTTCAAAGGATAATTGCAATAAGGAATTTTAAAAAAGAACAAAAGGGCCATACTTACATGTCTCTTGAAATCACCCTGTTTTACCACTAGGTTCAGATTCAACACAATCACTCCCATGTCTTCCTCTAAACTGTTTGGATCTTCCAATTTTAAAATATGTTCCGTTGTTCTACAAGCAAAAAAGTGACAAGTAATGTCAGCACTTACTGACAGGACTACATGATCTTATAATGCATCAGGAGCTTATGGTAAAAGTCTCATGCCTCTGAATAAGGATGAGACACAAGTTTAAAAAGCGCCAAATTCAATGAACATAAACCAACCATCTTCAGGACGGAGAAATCATTTGGCACTGCCTACTTTAACAGTTGGCTAACTGACTCTTCTCCCCTACTGTCCAAGTAAAATATTTATTTTAATTTTAAGTTAGGTAGGTTCATGAACCTGGATATTAACAAATGAAAGTTCAAAATCCAGTTCATATTTTAGAATACACTGGTAGAAGTTTTAATGTCTGACTCATTTGGAAGCCAAAAAACAAAACTCATAGAAAAACTTACATTTGTAAAGCGTTCTTTCATTTATTCAATTTTTTTAATCCTTTGATAATAAACGCCCTTTTACATTATCTTCAGTTAACTCTAAAACTTTCTAATTAACAGCAACTAGAAGGTAAAATACACTACCTGTTAAGCTCAAGATCACTGAGAATGATGAATGCAGAGCCCATGAAATCAGATGTAGTTAAATCTCGATCATATACCTAAAGAAAAAAGGGTGGAGGCCAGTAACTAACCCAGTAATATGGTAAACCAACTCAGTTTATCAGATTATTAATAAATGCATTAGGCTGGAATTTTTAACTCAATCTTCTATATCTAGAAAAAAACAATTGCACAGTACAGTTAAAGAGAAATTTAGCCAAACCGGAGGAGAGAACAAAATTATTCAAACTTGCCCACGCTGCCTACCAAGCCGAAAGAACAGTAGAAAATACTTTTAAGGCAGTCTTCACACACATTAAAATGTTATGCACAATGGACCGCTCTCTGCAGTTTAAATGGTCTCATTAAAATTTAGTATTTTCCATGGTGAGCAGATCTGCCAATTAAATAGAAATTTGCTAGATATTTGATAGCAATCCCATCCTACACTCAACTCATGCAGTTTTAGCCCAGATGTTATAGCAATTGATGCTTACAACCGGTAGCTTAAAGCTCTATTAAAGTATAAAGTTATTTCTAATGAGAACGGCTTTAATACTCATTGCTACAGCACTGGCGGTAATAATTCTTCCACATTCAGTAAGTTTAAATACAATCAATGGAGATACTACTTTCATTCTGATTTTCTGTAGAGTATATATCGTTCATCTGAGAAAAACATAGTTTCAACAAGGAGTATACAGAATTCCTTCTGCGCTAATATTTTTAACCCAATGTGTAAGAATATGCATTATTCTTAATTAACACATTATTCTCCATTAATAATTATTCCTAATTAATATCCTTAATTCTTAATTACTCTTAATAAAAAAACTAATTTTGGGAGGTTGGCTTTTAAGAGGGCAAACCTTGCTAAGAAATAAATGTCTTTGATAAAACAGCAGAAGAAAAGCCTTCTGTGATTACCTTCACACACAGCTTTTGATCAATGCTTTGTATTGGTAGTACGACTATCTCGTCCCACACTGGGTTCAAATTCTTATATATGACTTTACTTTTGTACAGTGTCTTCCCATTCAGCTTAAATTTCACATAGGGATCGCTTGTGCCTTTAAAAGAAAAAGAGAGCAAGATAGGTTTTATAAAAGATACATCAACGCTTAGGATCTCCACTAAGTAAAGATACTTTCCACATTCCCGAGGCTCAGCATTTCAGGCAGTGCACCCAGAACAAACGTCTCCCAGTGCAGAGATTGAAGGCCTCTGAGGGGGAGAAGAGAGAAATGAAACAATTTGGGGTAAGTGACTGATTCTTCTTTGCCTTTAGCGCAGAACAGAAAAGGTTCCTTGAGTTTTTTCTATTTTGTTTCCTCGTGAGTATGTCATCACTACACTACCCACAAAAATTCAAGGAATAAAATCCACCAGACCCCAGCCAACAGTGTCGGAGTCCTGGGGAGCAGCTAACCCTCCTAAGAAAGGCAGTGAGTCTGTTGAAAGGGAAAGAAACCATTTTCAAGCATTCGGCCAGATGGCTGACTCAACAGAACCCTGTACTTCAGAATGTAATCATAATAAATAAATCAATCTCTGGAACCACTGGCTCAAAAGATGGGGTGACAGCACCAACCGGGACTGGGGGCGTAGAGATTAAATCCACAGAGTTGCCATTCTTCACTGCTTCCCACACCTGCAGCCAGGCAGGAACACTTCACCCTGGCCAGCTGAACACCACATCAGCCAGGCCCTCAACCGGCCTCAGGCGACACCCCTGACCCGCCCGGCTCCTCCCGGGGAGCTTTGAAACAGATGCCAAGAGGAATGACTAATGTCCCTCCAACCACTATATCCAAAGAAGAAAGAAAGCCCAGAAGGACCCTCCTCCACACTTCTCAGATCAACTGAGGGAAAAAGAAAAAAAAATGAAAAAGCCTGTAAGCGGAATACGTGGATCATGTGTTGTGCATGTGTATTACATGCACACAAGTGTGCCATCGTACTCAGGACATGCTTGTGCATTAACACCAAGTGAATGATGAATAAAAAAGGCACAAACAAGGAAGCAATCAATGAGGGGAAACAATGAAGGCCAGTCAAGAGGGCCATAAGGAAACAAAATCATCTCATTGGAAGGGCTATGATATTACAATTAACTGGGAAATGTTGAAATATGAATGAATGCACAAGGACCGCCTATCTGTTTTGTTCCCTAATACATCCCAAGTACCTTGCACAGTGCCCAACATAGGTGCCCATGTATTTATTGACATGAATGCCTGAAATTTTAAAGTCAAGCCAATAGAGTCTAAAAGTATATCGAAAAAATTAATTAGGCGATTTTGTCCTAAACATTTACCAAATCATGAGTACCCATCACTAATTACTTCATCCTTACTTTTCAGCTCCTTTTCATGCTTCTATTTAGTCACAGTACTAAAAACTACTGAAAATGAATGCAGTGCATTTCCCAAGTGTTTTAACCGAAAGTGATGTCACTATAGGACAAGTTACTATACATCTCTTAAAGGTCTTAATAGATTAGTCATGGTGTTATGTTGATAAGTTAGCCTTCCAGTATTGCCAAGGTCCTAACTTTAAAACAAAGAAGTTAAACTTCAAACATACACATACAGGTATTTAACTCTGATGTATTAAATTTGGCAACCCAGGGGCAGAGGCCCAGCAGTCTTTATTTTAAACCTGGACAGCCCCCAACCCTACCAACACACATACATCATGTTAAGTGGCAGTTCTGAGTGGGATAGCAAAAATGAATGCATTCATGACATTCAGTGGAATATGCACCAGTGAGTGAGCAATCTGACCACCTCCACCCCCTTATAGTTCAAGAGAACACCTTGGGAAAGTTAGACTTTAACAATCACTCTGATATATATATATATATATATATAAAGGTGGGGGAGGGCAACTATATTAAAAAGAGGCTTTTAATTAAATGAAATTGCCACTCTGGGATAAGGCCTTCATGCTTGTCAGCATCCTCTCAAAATAAACATCTCAAAACGAGGGCTCGGTGGTGTTACTTTCTCACAGGCAAAGCATACTGGGTAATCCCCAGGCATCTTGACAGCTACATAATGTTCAAACTGTTTCACGGGTGAATGGCAGCAGTTGCATGAAAGAAAATATTAATGTCTGGAATTAATAGAAAAAGGGACCAGGGCTTACAAAGCCCAACAAGGAAAGAGGGTGTCAAGTTAGTGCAGTGTTAATTGTTAGGGAAAATTCGAGAAAGGGGGGCCCATTGTGATTTTCTCCCCAAGCCTAAGTGCCTCACTGTCAGGGAAGTGACATCTCAACTAGGCAGGCTCTGAAAAGGGGTCGGCCACTCAGGAATGCAACTCCCAGATTATACAAATGATGAGATGCTGCCTGAAAGGGTGGACTTTAACCTTTTTTCACTGGAGCTTTGTAAACGATGAGGCTCTTTGGAATAAAGAGGTATTGTGGAATTTCGGGAGGAGAATGAAGTTAGGAGGCCGGGGATGGTCCTGCATCCTGGGGTTTGCCTCCAGCCCAGGGTTGCCACCAATTCTGCCATGTGGACCCAGTGGAGTCACAGAACCTCCAGTTCAGGACATCCAGGCATTAAGCATCAATGGCCAGAGTCTTTGGCTCCATTAGAAACATACTGTGGTTCCATGCATGCTGAGAGAGACCAACAGCCACCCATTGGTCCTCCAATATCCTGTACCGGCTGACACTCCTGACAGTAATGTGTGACAGTCCTTATTGCTGCTCGTGCTCAGTGACACTAGGGACTATCAAGTAAGTCTCCCTTGAGTCTGTACCTGTCAGACCAGCTAACACTGCTCACAGGCCACCAGTACAGGCAACTTTGCATGGCGCGGAGCTAGTTACTGTGGAGGGTTACAAAGGCAAAATCAATCCCGGGGCCTGCCTTCTGCTCCTGCGGGATAGCAGGCAGACTGAAAATAAAACTGCTTGTCCAAGAGGTAAGTGTCAAAATGCACCGGAACTGGGGGGCATGCGAGTTCCCAGGCGGGAGAGATGAAGTCAAGCTGGGGTCTCCATGCAGGCTGCAATCAAGGAGATGCGAGTTGAAATATGGGTGGATCAGAACATGCGGAGGACTGAGGTCATTTCAGCGGGAGGGAGTGGTGCCTGAAGGGCAGGAGGGGAAGACCAAAATGACAAGAGATTTGTGTGGTGCCACGCAGGCATTTCAACAGATCCGGAAATGAAGGAGGGAAAAAATATAATGAAAAATAAAGCTAAAAGGCAGGTTTCAGTCAGAGGTCAATGTGCCCTAAAATTACAAGATAAAGAATTCGGTTTTTGTTCTGTAAGAAATATAGGATGGTTTTGTTTTTCTGATCTTTTTAATTTTTTTTTTTTAACAAACGAAGATATGCACAGAACTCTGAAAATTATGAAATGCAAAGTCTCTTCCCTCTAATCTTTCCTCACTCCCATTCCTCTAATGTACCAGTTTCTTGGGGGTCTCGTAGGAAAAAAAATACAAATATTAAAATGTATTTTAATTGATGTAACTAGTCACCAAATAATGGACATTTATATCAATTCTGATTTTTTTTTTACTAGTACAAATAATACTATAAGCAGCATCCTTGTGTGACTATCTTCGAGTTCGTAAGTGATTATTTTTATCATATCAAGAATTTTTAACACTGGAAATGCTGAGCAAACAAATTATGTGCCATTTTTGGTTCTGACACATATTGTCAAATTATTCTTCCGAAGTTTGTTGAATTTACACTCCTACCAAGAGTATGTTTTGTATCTGTTTCTTAACATGCTCACCAACGCTGGATGTTATAAACCTTTATTTCAAGGGAAAGGCAGGTGGAAAAATGCAACATCCCAATTTTTCTCTATCATTTGCATTTTGAATAAATCGTAGGATCTTTTGTATTTTACTAATCTACATTTGTATTTCTTTGTCAGGGAAATTCTCATTCACCTTATTTACCCATTTTCCTCTGGGCCTGTGGTTTGTTAAGTCCTTAATTATGGAAATCAGCCATTAGTTATAAATTTTGTCATAATTTGTTTTATGTTCTTTCTTACAATAAGTTATTTTCATTTTTATTTAATCACATTTACCAAGGTTTTATTTATGGCTTTGTAGTTTAACGTTGTGCTTAAAAGAAGATTTCAAATTAGACCTGCTATGTTTCCTTCCGAATGATTTTGTTCATTTTCTACACGTAAGTCTTTGGTCCATCTGGAATTATTTTAGGACGAGAAAGGAAAGAAATTCAGGTTTACATATGAGCAGGAGAGTAAAATGATCAGAGCCAAACTTTAGAAATATAAATCTAGCAGCAGCTTATAATTCAGAAGGAAGAAACAGGCTAAAATAAGAAAACCTGGTAGTTGAGATAATGCAGCACCAGGGAGTTGAGGGCTGACAAGAGGGCCCAAACCATAAAACGCCAATCCAGGGTGTCGCCGAGAGTGATCCACTGAATGCTTATCTGGAGAGAGGCTTTTGGGACTGAAAGTATTATGTCATCAAAACCACTGGGAAAAGTTGTTTAGTATTTTCTCCCTTGGAATTTCACATTGTAGAGTCCACTGTTAAACTCTGCTAACAACTGGATTCATGACAACAATAAAAACAGCTTAAAACTTTTCTACGCTGTATTCTATAAATCATTTAAATATAGAAAACATTTTACTTGGAACACCTATGAACATAAAATTAAGAGCCCTTCTGGACAGTAAGATGTGTACCCAGAATTGCCTAATATGCATGGGAAATTCATTTAAATGTGTGATCAATGAGGGAAGGAAGTTGGATGAAAGAATGGGATGGTGGATTAAGACCTCACACTTCCCTTTTATCACCTTGGGCAATTTACTCATTTCCCTTACAGCCTACTGCCTTCAAGTGTGGATGAAAATACACCAACCTCACAGGATTATTTTGAAAACTGAATGAATCAATACACTTCAATGACAGTGGCCCCAACCATTTACTGAGAAAGCCCCATAGTATGTGCTACTTTTAGTATTACTACTCAATCAAGTAAAAAGGAAGAGTGTACAATAATATATGTAGTACCAATTAAGTATTCATTTCCTTTATATTAACTGTCCA